TGGGGTTTGATCCGGGATAACAAATGGGATGCTCCCATCCCAGGCAGGGAGTTTGCTTCGGTTACGGCGGCGGGGAAAGAATGGCATTTTCCCAGCCTCGCCGGGGACCGTAATTATCCCTTATTACAAGGAGTTTAATTAATGTTTTCCCAGCCTCCTGCTGTCTGTCTAAGAAAACTTCACCCGCACGTAAAGGAGTGATTTAAGATTCACAGGGACGGGGGGAAATTAAATCCAAAAGTGCCTGAGCAGAGCAGGGGATGTAATGCCCAGATGCCTATAGAGATATACAGCCTATATACAGCTATTAAAAACTATATTTTCAACATTTATATATAAATATATATCTTAATATATAATATAGGCAGGTGTATATATATATAATATAGGCAGGTATATATATACAGCCTATATACATCTATTAAAAACTATAGTTTCAAGATTTATATATAAATATAAATATATATCTTAATATATAATATAGGCAGGTATATATATATAATATAGGCATGTATATCTAATATATATATATTATATAGGTATTTTAGGTATATATTATATATAATATAGATATTTTAATAGATAATATAGATATAGCAATATATAATATTTGTATAGATTATATACTACGTAGTAATATATAAGATAGATATATTAATATGTAATGTATAGATTAGTATATAGTATAGATATACAGATATTTTAATAGATAATATAGATATAGCAATATATAATATTTGTATAGATGATATACTACGTAGTAATATATAAGATAGATATATTAATATGTAATGTATATATTAGTATATAGTATAGGTATATAGATATAGATATTTTCATAGATAATATAGATATAGTAATATATAATATTCTGTATACATTATATAACATTAACATTAATGTATTAGTATACTATATATTAATATATAATGTAGATATATATATTTGTATATAATGTAGATATATAAGATAGATATATAAGATAGATAGATAATAGATATATAGATATAGATATATAGATATAACAATATATAATATTTTTTATATATCAGTATATCATATGGTAGCATATAATGTAGATCTATTAATATATTATACATATATTAGTATATAATATAGATATATAATATAGATATATAATATCTATATAATATAGATACATAATATCTCTAATATAATCTATAATATAGATATATATTTCCAGCCTCTTCCCAGTGTTTCCCATTACAATGAGATGTGCAGATGCCTCTTCTCCCCTTGGTTTGACGTTTGGGGGAAGGCTGGGGGTAAATCTTGGGGTGGGGTGTGATGGCCCCTTGCTTTCTCCTCCTCCCTCTGCTCCCCAGGGCCTCGGGCCGGCGGATGTCCAAGGCGGTCAGGGATTTTCTTTACGCCCAAAAAGTGCAGGCTCCGGTGGAGATTTACTCGGAGTGGCTGAGCGTGGGCCACGTGGATGAATTCCTCACCTTCGTCCCCGCCTTTGATAGGAAGGTACAGGTCCCTGGAGCTGTTCCTGCCATGGGGCATCTTCTACAAATGCCAAAAAACCTCACTCTTTTTCATAGAATCATAGAATTGTCCAGGTTGGAATGGACCTTTAAGATCATCTAGTCCAACCATCAACATAAATCTGATAAAAACCATCACTGAACCATGTCTCTAAGCACTATGTCAACGCTTCTTTTAAATACCTCCAGGGATAGTGCCTAAATTTTGTAATTTCTCATCCTCCCCACGGGGCTGGGTGATGCACCTTCTTTTGGGGTGGCTTCCTGAAAAAGACCAAGTCCTTGGTGGCATCCCCATATACCCTGCGACACCCGGGGCTGGGTTTAGAGTCAACATGGTGTCTCTTGGCAGGACGATGAGCTAAAATATCCCCCCAGCAGCAAATCATGAACCCCTTGGCTCTCTCCTGTAGGGTTTCCGGCTCCTCTTGGCCAGCCCCAACGCCTGCTACAAGCTCTACAAAGAGAAGCAGAGGCAAGGCCATGGTGAAGCTGGCCAGGTTGTAGGTAAGGGAGAGGGCAAGGGCATCCCTGCGGTGTGGTGGGGAACACCAGCATCCCTTACCAGTGTCCCCTCGTGGTCCCTTGTCCCCGGTGACCGCTCTCCTTCGGTCCTCATTCAGGGCTGAAGGGCGCTGAGAGGAAAAGCATCGACGAGATCCTGGCGGATGAGTCGCTGAGGAACGACAACAGGCACGTGCAGGTGGGTCTTGGCACCCATGGATTTGGGTGGATTTGTTCACCTTGTTTGCACGTCACTGCTGAGTGGGTGGTGGAAGCGTTTTTAGAAGAGCAAGGAACTGTCCCGTGAGTTGCGCTGTGCAGCGTGAAAGAAGGTGGGCAAGAAGAGCAGCCATGAAGGAAGCGGGCACCCTTGGGTGCTGGGTCACCCCAGCCCATTGTCCTGCCGGGAGATCATAGAATCATAGAATCATTGAGGGTGGAAGAGACCCTTGGGATCATGGAGTCCAACCATCTCCCCTACTCTACAAAGTCCTCCCCTACACCATGTCCCTCAGCACTGCATCTAAACGGCCCTTAAACACAGCCAGGGATGGGGACTCCACCCCCTCCCTGGGCAGCCTGTTCCAATGCCCGACCACTCTTTGGGTGAAAAATTCTTTCCTAATGTTCAATCTAAACCTCCCCTGTTGGAGCTTGAAGCCGTTCCCTCTCGTTCTGTCACTAATGACCTGTGAGAAGAGACCAGCACCAACCTCTCTACAGTGTCCTTTCAAGTAGTTGTAGAGAGTGATGAGGTCTCCCCTCAGCTTCCCCTTCCAGATGACTGCAGAGGGGTCAGAACCAAAGGAAAGAGGTTGCTTGGGTTGGGGATGGGTTCAGGAGGTTGCTCAGAGGGATGGGGTGGGATGGAGTGGGTGAGGGTCTGAGCAGGATGCAATGGGGCACATGGGTCCATGCATGGGATTTGGGGGGACCGAGATGGCCTGGGGTGGCAGTTCCACATCCTCCCTCTCTGCAGCGCTGCATCGACTGGAACCGTGATGTCCTGAAGCATGAGCTGGGTTTGAGCGAGCAGGACATCATCGACATCCCTCAGCTCTTCATCATGAAGGGCTCCCGTGCAGATGCCCTCTTCCCAGACATGGTGAGACCTCCAGCACCTCCTCCCCTCCCACCCCTCTTTTTTCCATCCACACCTGATGCAAACACACCTTTTGGATGGAAAACACTGATTTTTTGGTCCGGCTGCAGGTGAACATGCTGGTGCTGGGCAGGCACCTGGGCATCCCCAAGCCCTTTGGACCACTGGTGGGTGGGCAGTGCTGCCTGGAGGAGCGGGTACGGGAGCTGCTGGAGCCCCTGGGCCTCACCTGCACCTTCATCGACGACTACTTCTCCTACCACGTCCTCTCTGGGGATGTCCACTGTGGCACCAACGTCCGGCGTAAGCCCTTCACCTTCAAATGGTGGCACATGGTGCCCTGAAGTACCTGAGGTTGGGCTTCTGTAACCGGAGGATGAAGGTGCCTTTGGTGCATCAGAAGATGCATCAAAAGAAAGGGTTTTGCCAATAAAGCTGCATGAACAATGATGGACGCAGCTCTTCCCCATCTCCCGTCCTTTTTTTTCCTCGCCTGTTGGGTTGAAAACGTTGTTTGGAACCTCTTCTTTCTTTTTTTAAGCACCTGGGTTTGTTTTGGGAATGGTGGTTGCACGGGACGGGGACAACTGCGGTGGGTGGAGGATGGACACGGGGCATCTTCAGGAGGTTGGGGGTCTGGGGGTCCTGCTGCTAAAGGCTCTTATGGCCCTTTATCCCAGGACTGTAGCTAATAATCCTCTTTAAAAATCCCATTTATCAGCCAAAAAAACACCTCCCCTTGGGGTGATGCTCTCTTTGCCCACGCACGGTGTGGAGGTAGAGCCCCATCTTCCTGTGGATCATTTTACACCTTCCCCAACAAGAAATATTCCTTCTCCCTGGTGGGGCTGCCCCGGCTGCTCTCTCTCTGTCTCTCTCTCTGTCTCTCCTTCTTTTCACTGCAAACGGAGCGTGGCATTTCCCTGTCCAACCTGGCACCCCTGCCCTCACCCAGCAGGAACTGAAACCAGTCCCCTGCCCCGGGCACCGCTTACCCCCGAGCAACCCCGGGAGCTTTTATGAGGCTGAAAACCACTTTATTTTTTCCTTTTTTTTGCGGGCAAGTACTTTTTTGAGGTGTAAAATTATAGCTATTCCTCCAGTACAAACCGCCGTGATGCTGTGCCTGCATCAAGGGGGAGAATCAAGGGGGATGCTCCCCAAAAGGGTCACGTATCCCTCTTGGCACCCTGTTGTGGTTTTTTTTTTAACCAAAAAGAGGATTTCTAACCCCAGGAACCCCCTTTCCCTGTGGTTATGGCTCAGCTGAGTTTCCCCAGCCTGCCTGAGAGATATTAAATTCCAGCGGCGCGTGATCCCGCAGGGAGTTGGTGGGGGGACAGCTGCATCCCAAAGGGCTCTCCCACGCCGAGACGAGGATTTAATTAAAACAAAGACAATTAAAACCGTGGCGGGGCCTACTGTCCCCCACTGCAGGTGACGTACTGACCCCCCCTGGAGCCATGCAGCACCCAGGGGGATGGGGCAAGCACCCAGGGGGATGAGGCAAGCACCCAGTTAGCAAAAATAAGAAAAACCTCCCGAAATAAGAATAAAAAGGGCAATTTTTCTAGCTGGGCAAATAAAACCCTTCAGGAGGAGAAATGAAACCCCTGTGAGCCCGGCGCTGGCCTGTCCCCAGCTCGGCTCCAGTGTCACGCTGAATATTTCATGGCGTGGGTTTAAATGGGGGGGGCTGATCCCATCAACATCTCTTTGTGCTTAGAGGAGGTAAAAAAAAAATACAAAATTACACCCCCGAGCTTCTTAAAAAGAAAAATAAAAACTCTTGTGGGTGTCTTGGGGTGCTTTTTCTCCCCCCCCCACCCCCCCCAATCATGATTCATGCTCCGTGGCTGGGCAGTGAGCACACCCAGCCCGCGGGCTGAGCGCCCGGAGGTGGGATTAAACTGGGCTTTGTTTAATCCCCTCCCAGTAGCCAGGCTTTATAAATCCCCCAGTGGCAACCGGCAGAGCACCCAAGGGTGCCCCGGGGGCCCGCCGGCATGGCCCAGCAACGCCGCCTCCAGCTCTCCACCCAGCGTCCCACCAGCACCGTCTGCGTCCTGGGCACCGAGCTCTCCCTGGACATCCACGGGTAAGCAAGCAAATCTGCTTTTTTAAAAATATTATTTTTGGCTTTTATCTCCTTAATCGAGCGGCTAAAAATAGCTCCAGGTGGGGTGGGAGGGTGATGCTGCTGCATGGGGTGGTTTTCCCAAGGGATACAGAGCCCTGGGAGGAAGAGGATGCTCCGAATTGTGATGCAGGAACGGGGTGGTGATGCCTCCGATGGGGGATTTTGCATTTTTTTGGGTGCAAAAAGCCCCCCTTCCTGGGGCCTTTAATGGATGCTCAGGGCTGAGGTTTCCATCCCGGCCGGGGGCTGCTGCTTCCTCCTGCAAAATGGAAATATTTCTTTGTTTGGGTGGAACGCGGGGAGTGAAACCACTGGGGTGTCACCTCCCGGCACCGGCTGTTCCAGCTGCTCCGCTGGCCCCGGCCCAAGTTCAAGTGCTTTTCAGCAGCGGGTTTTGCTTTTTCCTTCCTTAAAACCCAGCTCAAGCAGCCTCTTGGGGATTTGATTTTCCTTAATGCCTCCGAACCTGCTGCGCTGTCGCTGCCGGCAGCATCCCATCCTCTCCTGCTGGTGCTGGGGTGGGTTTTTCTCCTCCACCCTGGGGATGGAGCTGGGTTTTCCTCCCTGGAGGATCAGGATTTGTGCTCCTTGGCCCATCGCCCGTGGCCTCTTGCACCCAAGACAGGGCTGTGCGAGCTGCAGCCTGTCCCACCATCGCTTGCCTTCGCTCTTACGGGGGATATAACCGGTCAGGGGTGAAATTCAAATATTTGGGCAGCCTCGTGCCAAATTTGTGGATTTCTAACTCCCCAAACCCTCCCGGAAACAACTCCGGGATTTTGCTGTGATGGAATATTGCAGGATTTATTGCAATTGTGTTTTAGCAGGGTTCGCTGCGTTTTGCTGGGGGTTTTGCAGGACTCGTTGTGTTGCAGGGTTCGTTGCGATTGAATATTGCAAAAATTCAGCATTTATTGAGATAAGTGCTGTGGGGTTTGCTGCAATTCCCTATTGCAAGATGCCGCGTTTGACATAGAATCATGAATGGTTTGAGTTGGAAGGGACCTTAAAGCCCCCCCAGTGCCACCCCCTGCCCTGGGCAGGGACACCTCCCACCACACCAGGTCCCTCCAAGCCCCCTCCAACCTGCCCTTGAACCCCTCCAGGGATGGGGCAGCCACAGCTTCTCTGGGCAACCTGGGCCAGGCTCTCACCACCCTCATTTATTCCCAATATCTCAGCTCCATCTCCCCTCTTTCAGTGTCAAACCCTTCCCCCTCCTCCTAGGGCTCCCCTCCCTGATCCAGAGTCCCTCCCCATCTCTCCTGGAGCCCCTTGAGGGACTGGAAGGGGCTCCAAGGTCTCCCTGGAGCCTTCTCTTCTCCAGGCTGAACCCCCCCAACTCTCTCAGCCCCCCCTCCCAGCAGAGGGGCTCCAGCCTTGGCATCATTTTCCTGGCCCTCCTTTGGACCCCTTCCAACAGCTCCATGTCCTTCCTGTGTTGAACCCTCCTCTGGACCCCTTCCAACAAGTCCATGTCCTTCCTGTGTTGAGGACTCCAGAGCTGGACACGGTGCTCCAGGTGGGGTCTCACCAGAGCAGGAGTAGAGGGGTAGAGTCACCACCCTCAACCTGCTGGCCACATCACTTGATGTGCTCGAGCATCACAACCTGTTGTGTGTATTGCCAGGTTTGTCACAATGAACACTGTGGGGTTTCTTGCCGCTGCCTTTCGCAGGATTCGTTGCCTCTGGCAGGATTTGTTGTAATCACCTTTTGCAGGATTTGTTGCGATTGCCTTTTGCGGGCTCTGTTATAATCGCATTTTGCGGGATTGGTTGTGCATCACAGCACCACAGAATGATACGGGGTTGGAAGAGACCTCTGGAGATCACCCAGTCCAACCCCCGGCCACAGCAGGGCCACCCAGAGCAGGTCCCACAGGAACGTGTCCAGGGGGGGTTGGAATGTCTCCAGAGAAGGAGACGCCACCACCTCTCTGGGCAGCCTCTGCCAGGGCTCTGCCACCCTCACAGCAAACAAGTTCCTCCTCATGGTGAGGTGGAACTTCTTCTATTCAAGTTTGTGCCCATTTCCTCTTGTCCTGTCCCTGGGCACCACTGGAAAAAGCCTGGCCCCATCCTCCTGACACCCACCCTGGAAGGATTTAGAGGTGTTGATCAGATCCCCCCTCAGCCTTCTCTTCTCCAGACTGAACACACCCAAGTCCCTCAGCCTTTCCTCAGCACAGAGATGCTCCAGGCCCCTCAGTATCTCTGTAGCCTCTGCTGTCCCCTCTCCAGCAGTTCCCTGTCCTTCTGGAACTGGGCAGCCCAGAACTGGTCCCAGTGCTCCAGCTGGGGCCTCCCCAGGGCAGAGCAGAGGGGCAGGATGACCTCCCTCCACCTGCTGCTCACCCTCTTCCTCATGCCCCCCAGGATGCCATTGGCTTCTTGGCCACCAGGGCCCATTGCTGGCTCCTGGGCATCCTGTTGGCCACCAGGACTCCCAGATCTTTCTCCTCAGAGCTTTTCTCCATGAGGTCACCCCCAACCTGTGCTGGTTTGGGGGGGTTATTCCCCCCCAGGTGCAGCACCCTGCACTTGCCCTTGATGAACCTCATCAGGTTCCTCCTTGCCCACCAGCCATCAAAGAGCTGGTGGTGGTTGCCTTTTGCTGGATTTGCTGGATATGGCAGGATTTACCCCTTGTTGCATCTTGCAGGGTTTGCTGAATATCGAAGAGCTTGTTGCAGTTTTGTTTTGTGAGATGTGTTGGGTATCACAGGGCTTGGTTTGGTCCCAATTTGGGGGATTAATGGCATTTTGCGGGACTTGTCACAACTGCAAATTGCAGGGTTTATTGCCTATTGAAGGACTCGATGGAGCTGCCTTTTGCAGGATTTGTTGTGTATTGCAGGATTTATTATAATTTTGTATTTCAGGACTGGTTGCAATTGCATTTTTGGGGGTTCCTTGCCTTTTACACCACTTTCCCCAACTGCCTGTTGTGGGATTCCTTGCCCATTGCAGGATTCCTTGCCCGTTGCAGGGTTTCCATCCCCTGCAGGTGGCCACACGCTATTTTATTCCACCGTTGCCCCCACCTGGGGCTCTCACCAGGTATTTTTCTCCCCCCCCTCCACCAGATCTGCACCCAAAGACGCCGTCGCCTTCCACGTGCAGGGGACGCCGGGCGTGAAGCTCTATGTGGTCCACGAGACGCAGAGCGTCAAGTTGCCCTCCAGCGTAGGCCGCTGGCCCCTGGCTGCTGGCACCGAGGTGCTGCTGGCCATGGATGCTCTCAGCAAGGACGTGGGCGACGAGAAGGTGGGTGCTGGGTGCCACCCAGGGCAGGATCTGGCCCTTCTTTGCACCCTGGTGACCTCCTTCTCCTTCTTGCAGGTCAGGATTTCTTATTTCGGGGAGGCCGGCGGGGTGCCCGTGGCCAGAGCCATGCTGTACCTCACCTGTGTGGGTAAGTAGGGGGGGGGACACCCCCAAATAGTGGTGCTGGTGGGGATGTGTCCCCCCCCTCAGCATCCCTCTCCCCACAGAGGTCTCTCTGGACGCCGACACCAGCCGCAGCGGGGCGGTGAGCAGGACGCTGCTGGATAAGGTATAAAGGGCAGGGTGGGAAGCCCCTTGGGACCATCATGGGATGATGGGGGGGGGATGGCTGGTAGCCCCCAGCGCTGTTTCACTCCCCTAGACGACATGGACGTGGGGTCCTGATGGACACGGGGCCATCCTCCTGGTGAACTGCGACCGTGACGACCCCAAAGCCGAGCTGCCGGATAACCGCGACACCGCTGTCCGCTCCTACGCCGGTACCACCACATCCCATGCAAGAAACCTCCATTTTCCTAAGGTTTTCCCCCTAAATTTTCCTTTCTTACACTCTTTTCCCCCCACCCCAGACCTGAAGGACATGTCCCAGATGGTTCTGCGCACCCGAGGACCTCGCACCATCTTCGCCGGCCACCGCCTCGTCCTCCACGTGGACTTTGGCAACGCCGATAAAGTGGGGGTCTTCTACGGCGGCAGTGAGTGCCCAACGTGGGGGTTTGGGAAGGGGGGAGAAGGGACAGACACCCCCAAATTATGGGGGTTCAAGCCAAATGCTTGCAGCAGCCCCAACATCTCTCCTGCAACATCCAACCTACATCCCAGGGCGGGGTTTTCTCTAACGCACCAGGGGGTGATTTTGCTCCCCGTGTCCATGGGATCAAATATGCTCTTTTGCAAGGTTTTAGGCAAAAAATGGGGCAGAAAAGGGGTCGGTTGTTTAAGGGGGGGGTCACACAGTGCTTGCTCCTGCAGACAGCGTCGCGCTGGAGGAGTACAAACAGGTGCTGGGGGGGAAAAAGCTCGCCTACGCCATCAAACCCAGCCGGCACCAGGAGGAGAGCATCTTCTACGTGGAGGGACTGGCCTTCCCCGACGTCGGCTTTTCAGGGCTGGTGACATTCCACGTCACGCTGCTGGAGAGCCCTGAGAAGGTACCAGCCATTGTGTGGGTGTGTGTGGAGGTCAGGGTGACCCAAAACTGGGAGGGTGGCAGCAGAGCCCTAATTCTGTCCCATCCCCACCTCATCCCCCCTCCAGGGTTTGCTGGAGACGCCGATTTTCACCGACTCGGTGGTTTTCCGCGTGGCTCCGTGGATCATGACCCCCAACACGGCAGCACCCCTGGAGGTCTTTGTCTGTAGGTGGGTGCTGAGGAGGAGGGGGTGGTCACATCCTGCCCGAGGCTGGATCAGCACCTCCCCCAATCCCATTTTTTCTTCCCAGTGTGGAAAATAACGAGGATTTCGTGGCGGCCGTGGGCTCCTTGGCTGAGAAAGCCAAGTGCCCTCTCACCGTCTGCCCGCTGCTGGAGAACCGCCACGACCGCTGGATCCAGGTGGGTGCAGGATGATGCCCAGCCCCATCCTCATCCTCACGGCAGCAGCTCCAGTTTGGGGTTCTCCTCCCCCATCTTCTCCATCCCTTCTCCAGGATGAGGTGGAATTTGGCTACGTGCAAGCCCCCCACAAGACCTTCCCCGTCGTCTTCGACTCGCCCCGCGACCGGGGGCTGAAGGATTTCCCCGTCAAGAGCATCCTGGTACCTGACTCCTTCCTCCTCCCTTCCCCAGCGAGGTGTAAACCTTTGCAAATCCATAAAAAAACCAGAATAAATCAAGTTTTTTTCTTGCATTTTTGGGAAGATCCAGCATCAAAGATGATTTGAGAGTGCTGGGTTTTGGGTGCTTATAGCTTGCTTTTTTTTTAACCATTATTGCATTTTTTTAACTATTATCACCTTTTTTTTCTCCATCCAGGGCCCTGATTTTGGCTACGTGGCCCGACAAGCACCAGAGGGTGCTTCCAGCCTCGATTCCTTTGGTAATTTGGAGGTGAGCCCCCCCGTGACGGTGCAGGGCAAGGAGTACCCCTTGGGCCGCATCCTGATCGGCAGCAGCTTCCCCAGGTGAGAGGGGATGGAGGGAGTGGAAACCAAAACAACCCCCAAAAAAGGATTTTTGTGCCCAATTTGAGGCCGGGTGCAAGCAGAGCATCGCTTTGGGTACCCCAAAATGGAGGTTCCCCCCTTGTCCCCCCCCCAGGTTTGGTGGCAGGCGGATGGCGAAGGCCGTGAAGGATTTCCTCGTCGCCCAACAAGTGCAGGCCCCTGTGGAGCTGTTTTCTGACTGGCTCCTCGTCGGCCACGTAGACGAGTTCCTCAGCTTCGTCCCTGCGCCCGATCGGAAGGTAACGAGGCCCAGGGGGTGGAAAAAGTGGGGTGTCACCTCTGTGCCCCCCCGTCTCCCCCCTAAAAATCATCCCTTTCTCCCTCCCCAGGGTTTCCGGCTGCTCCTGGCCAGTCCCAGCGCCTGCTACCAGCTCCTCAAGGAGAAGCAAGAGGAGGGGTTCGGCGAGGCGGCGATGTTCGAGGGTAAGGGGAGGAGGAAAATTGGGGTTCAGTGGGTTATTTTTCCCCTTTTCCTGCAAAATGCAATGGGGTGGGTGAACGCACGGCCCCCCCAAATCCAGCTAACGGCTGGAAAGTGCTGCCGGCAGTGAGGATGGGGGGGGGGGCAGAAATAAGCAGTATTAATTAAAAAGCTGCAAGGATTTGATTTCCCGGGGTGGGATGGAGCTCGCTGCTGGTCACCCCTGGACTGGGGGAGCTCCTGGCTCAGACCCATCAGTCTTGTCCCAAACGTGTTGGGGGAAGAATTTCTGCCCGGTTATTTGTGCTGCAGGACTGGAAAAAGTGCCCAAACCGACCATAAATGAGATTCTGGCTAATGAAGGTCTCCGGAAATTCAATAATTACGTCCAGGTGAGGAAGGGGAGAAGGGGCTCCTTTCCAGCCCGTCCTGTCCCTCCATCTGTCCACCCATCCCTTTGTCCCTCCATCCATCCATCCACCCCCTCCTCCCTCTGCCCCCTCTGTTCATTCCTCCACCACTCTGGTCCCCCATCCTTCCATTCCTCTGTCCCTCCATCTGTCCACCCATCCCTTTGTCCCTCTGTCTACCCACCCACTCATCCCTCCCTCCATCTGTTCACATATGTCCACCCCTTTGTCCCTCCATCCATCTACCCATCCCTCTCTCTACCCATCCTTCTGCCCACTCTTCCATCCCTCCATCTATCCTTCTGTCCCTCCAACCACCCATCCACCCATTCCTCCTTCTGTCCATCCACCCATCCCTCTGTCCATATGTCCACCTATTCCTCTGTCCATCCCTCCCTTCCTCTGTCTGTCCATCCCACCATCCCTCTGTCCATACCTTCACCCATCTCTCCATCCGCCCACCTATCCCTCTGTCCATCCATCCATCCATCCATCCCTCCATCTGTCCACACCATCCCTCCCTTCCTCTGTCCATCCACCCATCTCCCTGTCCAACCCTCCATCTACCCATCTCTCTGTCCATACCTCCACCCATCTCTCCACCCATCCACCTATTCTTCTGTCCATCCATCCATCCCTCCCTCTCTCCATCCACTAATCCTTCTGGCCATTCCTCCACCCATATCTCCATCCACCCACCTATGCCTTCAACCCTCTGTCTGTCCATCCCTCCATCCATTCCTCCATCTGTCCACACTCCGTCTGTCCATCCCTCTGTCCATCCACCCATCCCTCTGTCCAACCTTCCCTCCATCTACCCATCTCTCTGTCCATACCTCCACCCATCTCTCCCATCCATCCACCTATTCTTCTGTTTGTCCGTCCATCCATCCATCCATCCCTCCCTCCCTCCATCCACCAATCCTTCTGGCCATACCTCCCTCCCTCCATCCCCTCTATCCTTCAATCCTTCTGTCTATTCCTCCACCCATCTCTCCATCCGTCCACCTATTCTTCTGTCCATCCATCCATCCATCCCTCCCTCCCTCCCCTCTATCCTTCAATCCTTCTGTCCATTCCTCCACCCATCTCTCCATCCATTTATTCTTCTGTCCATCCATCCATTCTTCTGTCCGTCCGTCCATCCGTCCATCCATCCATCCATCCCTGCCTCACTCCCTCCATCCATCCCCTCCATCCATCCCCTCCATCCTCCAGTCCTTCTGTCCATTCCTCCACCCATCTCTCCATCCACCACCCACGCCTTCAACCCTCTGTCTGTCCATCTCTCCATCCATTCCTCCATCTATTCACACTCCGTCTGTCCATCCACCCATCCCTCTGTCCAACCCTCCTTCCGTCTACCCATCCATCTCTCCATCCATCCACCTATTCTTCTGTCCATCCATCCATCTATCCCTCCGTCAACCTACCCATCCCTCTGACCATACCTCCACCCATCTCTCCCATCCATCCACCTATTCTTCTGTCCATCCATCCATCCATCCATCCATCCATCCATCCATCCATCCTCCAATCCTTCTGGCCATTCCTCCACCCATCTCTCCATCCACCCACCCATGCCTTCAACCCTCTGTCTGTCCATCCCTCCATCCGTTCCTCCATCTGTCCACACTCCGTCTGTCCATCCCTCTGTCCATCCACCCATCCCTCTGTCCAACCTTCCCTCCATCTACCCATCCATCTCTCCATCCGTCCACCTATTCTTCTGTCCATCCATCCATCCCTCTCTCCCTCCATCCACCAATCCTTCTGGCCATCCCTCCACCCACCCACCCATCCCTCCCTCCCTCCATCCCCTCTATCCTTCAATCCTTCTGTCCATTCCTCCACCCATCTCTCCATCCATCCATCACGCCTTCAACCCTCTGTCTGTCCATCTCTCCATCCATTCCTCCATCTATTCACACTCCGTCTGTCCATCCACCCATCCCTCTGTCCAACCCTCCTTCCGTCTACCCATCCATCTCTCCATCCATCCACCTATTCTTCTGTCCATCCATCCATCTATCCCTCCGTCAACCTACCCATCCCTCTGACCATACCTCCACCCATCTCTCCCATCCATCCACCTATTCTTCTGTCCATCCATCCATCCATCCATCCATCCATCCATCCATCCATCCTCCAATCCTTCTGGCCATTCCTCCACCCATCTCTCCATCCACCACCCACGCCTTCAACCCTCTGTCTGTCCATCTCTCCATCCATTCCTCCATCTATTCACACTCCGTCTGTCCATCCACCCATCCCTCTGTCCAACCCTCCGTCCGTCTACCCATCCATCTCTCCATCCATCCACCTATTCTTCTGTCCATCCATCCATCTATCCCTCCGTCAACCTACCCATCCCTCTGACCATACCTCCACCCATCTCTCCCATCCATCCACCTATTCTTCTGTCCATCCATCCATCCATCCATCCATCCATCCATCCATCCATCCTCCAATCCTTCTGGCCATTCCTCCACCCATCTCTCCATCCACCCACCCATGCCTTCAACCCTCTGTCTGTCCATCCCTGCATCCATTCCCCCCTCCCTTTGTCCCCCCATCCCTCTGTCCCTCTCTCCCTCCCTGCCACCACTGCTGACACCCTCCTCCTCCTGTCCCCCCAAGAGCTGCATCAGCTGGAACCGGGACATCCTGAAGCGGGCGCTGGGCCTGGCCGAGCAGGACATCCTGGACATCCCCCAACTCTTCCAAGGCGACGTGGCCACCGGCGCCGAAGCCTTCTTCCCCGACATGCTAACA